AGGGAAAGACTTATACATTCCCTGATGTGAGTTCAGCAGCAGTATCAAAAAGTAAAGACAGATTCTTCTCAGAAGAAAATTTCTATGGCCTGTGAAATCTAGGAGAAATAAGAGAGATGTTTCAAGCCACTTTGAATTTTTTTTAATATTGTATAATTTTAAAAAATTCTTAGAGTAACAAGAAAGAAGGTACGTTTTTAACAGTATTCATTCTGCTTAAGGGTACAATAACAGTACTGAAGAATAGCAACTTTTATTCTTAACATTCACCAGCACAGTTCCACACGTGTACCATGACTGTAGAACGGTTACAGTTCTCGGGGGCCCAGTGTGACCAGTTCACGGTTACTTGGGAGTGGAAATGCAAATATAGGTAATGGAGCTGGTTTTGGTTTCTTTCCTTTTGGGACTTAAGGTGCAGTTTGTCATTGGTAGAAATACTCTTTATTGTGCAGTGATTGTGTTGTTTCCTAACAGGCAAGCAATGTTGAGCTAATGCTTTGAAAAATAAAAGGACATGCTGTTGGGTTCATGTATGACAGTATTAAAAGTCTGTCTGGAATAAATTCACTCTTGCTCTGTAGGCTTGTTCTTTGGTTGTGGTATGTAATTGAAGTCCCAATGATTTATAATGCCTTAGCACTAATTGTAAATTGTGAGCCTGTTTACTCCTAATATCCTTAACGAATTTCAAAACATATCTTTATAATCTGCTTAAATTCCCCAGGTACCTACAATGACAAGAATGTATCTCACTTTCAGACTTAAACTGCAGCCATCCCATTCCCCCGCCCATATTTCATTCTATCAATGCAGTGATGACTCTGTAATGTTAAAAGAGCCCTGACAATTGCATGAACAGTCTAGAACTGCACAACTACAGCATGTAGATCAGTGTGCATTGCATTTTTGACTTGAGTGTATTTCCCTAGACCATCTTTTCACTGAGCATGCAAAGCTCACTGGAGCGGGAATTCGTTGCCATTCAGAACTAGGCATGGTACCATGGGCCCAGGCGTGGCTGAAGGGAGCCTTCCAGAACACCAGACTGTACAGCAAGTTCCCTAGTACAGTATTAGGCAACTTGTTTTAGCAGCAAGCACACCTGAGGATGCCTACAGACATGGCAAGAGTACACTGTGCTCCCAGCAGCTCCAAAAATTGTGTTTTAAGAGCAATTGGACTTGCTCAAGGGATATAATGGAAACTGTAGGAATCAACTGATTGCTGTGTCAATTTTTCTCCAACAAGGTCTTTTTGCAAGTAACGATGCCTGTGGAATCAGCCTCTCACATTTTTTTCCCCATGTAGAAAAGGGAGATGAATGTTTTCATGCATGCTTAAGCATGGTACCCGTCAGCAGTGCTGGCACATGAAGCAAGCACTGCAGTGACTACGTTCATGTTGGCCTGACCACTCGGACAGTGACAGGACTCAAAACCAGTTCTCTCTCCTGCTCTCTCCACTGCCATTAAGTGTGCTGGGGGGGGGCTGCAATCCTTGCAGTAGCAACTGGACCAACATGCAAGGGATATTGAATGAATTAGAACAAATCCCACTGGAACTAATTATCACTTTCAGGCATTACATATGTCTTGTTACAGTATGTAGAATTTCTCTTAGCAGGGAAGTTGCAATGTTTGTGATAATGAGGTTGCACACTCAAGAACATTTAATTCAAAAACCTTTATATAGTGTATTGTTTGTCTGCTTAAAAAATACTATTTTTTTTTCTGTGTTATTCCTTATTTCTTGTCATAGCTTTTGAATCTTCAGTGCAAAGAATGCAAGCTGAGTGATGTTCTGGAGATGCTCTGGGGGCTCCTCAGTACATGCTAATCAAAGCAAAACTAAAATAGAGAAGCCAGGTTCTGAACAGGAAAAGAAATACTTCCAGTTTTATTCTAAACCAGCTTCCTTTGTGTAGTCTTCTCCCACATCCAGTATATGAAAGCAAAAGCTACAGCTTTGGGACTCAAGCAGACTGGGTTTAGCAGGCAGTGGAAATAAAGAGGTGAAAAACTGACCTTGTCAAGTGTTTGCTTGATGCATGTACTTCCATCTCATTACTTTTGTATTCATTTAGCTCTTTCCGAATTGCTGCCTAGGAATTGCAAATAGAAGATAGTTAACAATTTTGTAAAGCGTAAGTGTGATAAAATACCAGACTTGCAGAGCAGAACAGGAGTTTTCTAAAGCAGAAATAATAGGTCTTGGGTATAGCAAAGGAAGATGTCATTTTAATTATGTCAGTACCTTATCTGCTGCTGATAGTCTTGTCCATGGTTTATCTGCTCGCCTGTCATAGTCCTGTGCTTTTGCCACTTCCACATAATCGCTGAATCGAATCAGGATCTTTCTGTCTCTTAGTTCATCAACTGTAGGTCTCTGGTTAAGCTGTATTAAATAGTTTTGTAAAAAGTGTTAATAACAAACATCTCAATAAAATGTGCAATGTTTGGTGCTTCCCATCTTAGGTTAGTGTGCTAAGCCCCAACCCTTGGCAATTCCAGGGAAATACTCAATCCTTCGGAGGACTGTTAGGAGGGTAATAATGGTTTAAGGGGAGTTGTGGGCTACAGCACAGTGGGTTTATAATGGATGAAAGAGGAAAACGTTTTACCCTGGATTTTGATAAAGTGCATTTACAATATGTAAAGGAATGATAATGAATTTATTATGGTCTATGCACATGCTGTAGGGGTTTTCTGCTACAGTCAGCAGCAGACTGTCTGACTGTCTGTGTGAGGTTTTCGGGACTGGACCCATTGTAAGAATTTCTATTTGCCTTTTCCAAGTTATCAGCATATTTGGCTTATCATTCCAGTGGGGATTCCTGGGAACGGAACAACAGATCTAGTTCTGATTCTGAGAATACCTTAAATGCAAAGAGAAATCTATTGTGGAAGCACACCTGGTGCTCAGCAGGGAGTCAGCCCTGCTCCTGATTGCTGCAGAAAGTGAAGGAGTCCTTTTCCAGCAGTATAGCTGCAAAATACCCAGTGTGCAAGCAAATACCCCTTTTCTGACTTAAACTTTATATGTAAATATTCTACTAAGTCTCCCATAGCTGAGATAAGGTAGATACTTTTACAATTCATATTACCCAATGCTACTATCTCAGACACTCCTGAGGAGGATGTCTGTTAAGGGAGGTTTTGTGTAATAATGACCTCTATGGCTGGTTGATACTATATTGGTTTTGCTAGATTTCTAAAAACAGTGGAAGGTATTGTAAGATCTTACCTTTCTTGTCAGTCTCTGTTTGATTTCTCTCCTTTCTTCCTGTTCTGTTTGATCATTTCGTTCTGTGGGGAATATAAAAAAGAGAGATGACTTTCCACATGAGGAGGTTGGTATTTTCTAAAGTTACAGGCAATAAAAATGAAAGCACAGAAATATTAGTAGGTGGTTCTTAGTTGTGTGTTTTGTTAGTTCAGTAAATCACCCTGGTTCTCTGACAGAGTATCTAGTAACCTCTGTAGTAACAACATCAGCTTTTCCTAAAGTCAGCTCCAGTGAGATTTAATAAAACAACAGCAGCCACACCAGCTCTCCAGCTACATAAACTTCAGAAGGAAAATCAAAATATTTCATAGTTAATCATCATTTTTTATTCTCTGTAGTGCTGGAGCCCTTCACTGCTGTTAGATGCTTAAAAGATTTATTGCAGCAGCTCCAGAGAAAGTGTGTTCTTTCCTGCATAACCTCATTCTGAGGTGACACCTTTAGATGGTCACATAGCCATAGTAGTTATCTTGCACTTGCATACTTTTTCTCTTTGCTATTCGGGATATGCCACTGACATTGGAACCTCTTTATCCTCACGAGGTTTGCTTTTGTAGTGTCGTTCCGTTCTAACCTAAGGCAGATTGCTTTTGTGTGTTGTGCCTATTAACATTCAGGCCATGGTAACTCCTCCACCCAGGGTCTAAAAATAGACCAGAGTGCTGTAACACTGTGTGAAATATATCCTTTGCCTTAGGAAACGACTTAATGGCGTCTCTATTTCTAGTACTATCTGTTACTAAATTAAGGTGTGAGGCTGTGACCTGAAAAAAGCTGAAGACCTAGAGAAAAATGATTAACCATTGTGGGATTTTCTGGATACGACTGTGACTGTGTATCTGTAGATACATACCCCACTTGCATGAGATATTTCCAGTGTTAAAGCACACACGTGATTTTTAATACGCCTTGAAAAAGCACTACAACTGCAGATGAGTTTCCAAAATGACATTTTTAGTAATGAAGGATTTTTTCGCCTTACTTTTAGGCTCATTAGATTACACTGAAGTGCAATTGTAAGTATCTATTTAAAATAACACTGCAGTGCATAGCTATAACTGGCTATAGTAGAAATGTAAATCAAATGAATCTAAGATGCCATAATATGCTGTATTACAATTTGGTGGTGAGGCACACAAATGTGAAAGAGAATAGGACAGCTAAAATTAGTGCTTTGTCAGAGGTGAGCAGCTACTGAAGTCTGGAATGTTTGAAAAGAACAGGCTTTAAAAAGTAGAGTGTATTCTACGATGCAAGAAGTTACTAATATGCTTCATTCAGGTTTAATTCACCCCTTTTAAAGCAGATGTTCTTATCTATATATTTTAAACAGAGATCTTTCTGTGGTGTAGGGCCTTTTTAAGGTATGACTGTAATATGCACTGAGAGAATTCCTAAAGCAAACCTACAAGGACACATTTCTGATAAAAAAAATGCTTTTCCAAATGTAGTAAACATGTTTAGTGACCTAATTCGATGAGACATGCATCAGGTTCAGCGCTTATACCCAGCTCCAAGAAATAATAATAAAAAATAGTTCTTTTGGAAAAAACTAACTCAGAATTTGATAGGAAATGCTAGCAAGGGCATTATGAAACTTGGTGTTATTACAGAGCCAAACCAGAGAGGTTTTTCCCATCAATATCACTCTGCCTGTGTTTGGAGGGCTGGTTTTGTAAATCTCGGTGGAGAGACTCTCCCAGTCACGAAGTAGCATGTTCAGTGCTGTAACTCATTTTGCTGCTCCCTGAGTTACTCAGGGAACTCTTGGCTGTGTGTGGCACTAAACCAGTTGCTGCAGTAAAGAAGGAGCCAGGGACTGTACAGTGTGAGTTACGAGATGCTGTCTTTTCCCATGTGAACACAGCTTTCTGATGAACGCAGGACAAACACATGTGACCACCTGGGCTGTGATAGTTCATATGCTTTTCATGTTCATGCTAAACGAGCTGTGTTCCTATAGTTAAAGGACTTAGAAGATTGACAATATTGTAAGAGAGTGTCAGCTTTAAGTTAGCTTTTTAAGTATTACTTTTATTTGAGAAACATCTCCCTAAGGGAGATAAAAAGTCACTTCTTTTGATCTTCCCAAAATTTGTTTTAGAATAACGCAGTAATTGCACTCAGGCACATGCAATGAGCTTCTTTCTTGACAGAGTTCTTCAAATGTGAATTATTAGTCCTTGTAACAACTTTGGTGTAATATTGCTTCTGTTAGCAGTACGTATTGGGAACATCAAAGATGTTAGGAAACTAAGAACACAACTGTACAAACTCTTACAACCTGGAGGAAGTTGCAGTGATTTAACTGAAGGACATTTATACCCTACTTGTAATAAAAGGAGACTACCAATTTCTAAATTCACTCAAAACTGAGACTAGAGTTGTTGCATCTGTCCAGCCTTTTAAGATGACAGCTGACACAGGTAAGTGATGGCCCCAGCTCTTTACAAAATACTTATCTTTTTATATAGTGGAAGAGGTAAATCAAATAGAACCAGTTCTGATCTCAGCTGAACCAGTGTAAAGCCTGAGCCAGTGAACTGAAGTCAGTAAATGTGCTCCATGCTGGCAGCTCTTTAAATGAGATACAAATCTAAACCAGTATGTTTAGCTGGCATTCAGGAAATATCTTTAATTCTGCTTTATCTTCTTTCTGCTTTATCTCTCTCTAAGCTCATTATATGAATGTATTCAAACTTTTTTTATTATTAAAGCTGGTCAGTTTAACCCAGATTAAGGATGTAACCAGCACACTTCAAAAAGTAAACAGACAGGAACAGATTTTTTCAGTGCAGATCAGCTCTTCCTTAGCTGGGAAAAAACCCAAAGAAACAGGATTTCAGAGATCTTGGGTACTGTCTCTTGAAAATCTGGCCCCACATATTTCAGAATCTTGGGTTACTGCTGTTTCTTGTCTCTTGTGGAGGATGACAGATGAAGTTAGGACAAGTTCCATTCACATTTGCGAAGCATCTGTCCTTTTTCCCATTTAGCTATGCACATGTGAGACATCTAATTTTACCAAGTGCATTGTATGTATTGGAACAGTGCTGAAAATACCAGTAAGTACACTGTGGAATTCCTTTGTGTTAAAACTGAAATCTCCAATAACTTCAATGGCAAGAGCATAAGGTTTTTTCTATGAACTACAAAGAAAGTTCTGAGACATTAAATTTTAGGTAACAAAATGTAGATAACATTTTTCCTAGCAAATTACAATCATATGAAATATGAATCATTAGCAGAGGCAGTATTGCTTGGATGGCAAACTTATGTGGCTTTATGTTTTATGCTTGTTTAATGAGAAGCAAGCTATTTACATTACTCTGGGTTTCGTCTTTCAACACTAAATAGACCATGAAAATAACAGAAGCAAGATACTTTTCCTTCAAGCAGATGGCCTCCCCCTTCCTCCTGTCTGAGGCCCAGAGTGGAGACAATTCCAAAGCTCTCTCTCACCTTCCCCTCACTTACCAGATTCCCAGCACTTGTGAGGAAAGGGATGATGCTCACCACTTATTTGATTCCCAGGCCAGAACACGGATCTTTAGGAAGAGTTGCACATTTCTGCCTTGTGTTTATTTGAGAGATGTAGAGAACATTCCCCTGTGGCAGTATCTGTTACAGGCCTGGAAATGTTCCTCTGCTAATGTCTCAGAATGATCCTTTTTTGACTTGTCTTTGGGAAGCTCTCTAATGATATGAACAAATGTACTTGTTAGGAGAATAGCACCTCTGCAGGGATGCTTTCCCCATTCACTTCAGCCTTGGGGGTATTCACTGTACAGTTTGCCTTGACAGCCCATGTCTTGAAACATGTCAGTCCAATTCCCATTTCACTGTGTTACACTAGGATTGTATTCCTCTCTTAGACATCCCTAACAGTGTAATGAGAATGAAAATGACTTGAAAGACTACATATGAACCAGTCACTCTTCTCTGTACTAAATTGCATGCCTTTACCAAGTTGTAAATTCTGAATCCACGGTATTAGAAACCCAGGACATGTGAAAAACTAAAACTTTTAGGTACAGAAAATAATCCCAGTTAATTAATTTGTCTATTTAAAAATACTGTGGTCTAGAAATGCAGCCACTGGTTTCAGAAACACATATAAAATACTTCAGGAAAAAAAATACTCACGTTTAAGTATATTTCTTCTTTCTAGCTCCTCAACAGCAGGTCTTTGGCTGAGTCGCCTGCGGAAAAACACCAAAATCACATTTTGTACCATGCCTGTTCTTTGGAAAGTCTGCAGTATTCTGAGCTCTGGGTAGTGTTTTCCTCAGGGAGGGGACTACAAAAGCCCTCTCCAGGAATCGGGAAGAAAAAAGAAATACAAGAATCCTGACACCAGAATGCTTTCTTGTATTATTCTCCCAAATGTCAGCAATGCAGGTAGAAGTTCTCCTCTAGTTTGCTCTGCTGTCAGTGAAGCTCTTCCTCAGAATGTGAATCCTTTTCACCATACTTCCCAGACAGTCAGTTGGAATCAGTGCTCTCTAACAGTTAAATTCACTCTTGAGGGGGTATTTAAGGTGGTTATCAAATGAGTTTCACAGTGATCTTCTGTAGCTATCACTGCCTCTCCCTTTCAATCTCAGGTAGCAGTGGGCTTCCTTTTTTCTAGTAACACCAGTGGTGCATCCTGACAAAATGCAGACTTGCCAGAATAAAGCTTTCCTGTGGTTTCCCGAGTACACATCTAACAGACCAATCCAGCAGCTCTCCTCCTGCCTGCTGAATAAAAATTCGTGTGCTGCTCACAGCCTCATGCTGTCTGAACGGAATGTCTTATGCAGTTTCACCTCCCCTTTTCAGTAGTGCTGCTTCAGGATTGAGTCTTCAAATCATATGACCAGTGCCACGGTGATTTTATTGTGCATACTAAATGAGACTTCCCCACGAGACACTGCTAATATCTGCAGAGAATCTCAGGTAATTGAACCCCTCCCCTTGGTGCACACACACACACGCGGCGTTTGCCGTCTTTCATGTAATAATCCAGCAAGCAGATCGGAAAGAGTTTATGATGCTTTCTGGCCTGTGTCCTGGCAACGTTAAGGATTCTCATCGTCTCCTCTCCAGCAGATGATGCCAAGCCAGAGATGGAGTTACAAAGAAATAGAGCAGGGACCACACTGCAAACCCCTGCTGCAGTAGTTATCCCTCTACTGAGTATAGGAAATAAAGGCATGATTATGAAGTAATGCTATAACAAGATCTACATTTTATCTACATGGGGACACAGTCACCAGACTAAAAAAACTGGTCAAAGTACCTGATTCTCATTTCTCCTTGTTTTGTAAGCCTTACCATACATATTCACTCAAAATCAACCCTGTCTTTATTATCAGACCAACAGTCCAAATTATAAATGCAACTCCTTACCCTTTTTTAATCAATTTCCCTGAGATCCCTGGGAAAGCTTTCAGCTTTGGCAACAGGAAAGCATCACAACTGCTATACCAGATTCACACCAACAGAAAGCTTAGATGATGAGCTTTTGTGCTTAGAAACACCCACAGCCTAACTCTCGTTCTTCCTACCTAACCTTTTGGATCACGTAAGGGTTTTCTCCTGCTCTCTGGATTTCTTTTTTGGAGTAATGAGTTGGATACTCCAGCAGTGGATGTTGCAATAATCCAAAGTGAAACAGGAACGATGCTGAAATGCCATACTAAAGGCTTTAAACATGTATTTTTAATTCCTGTTACCCTTGGACTCCTCATACTTCACTCATTCTCCTTTATGCCTCAGAAATGATACAACTCTGTCTAGGTTTTGTTGGAAAGAGATAAACATGCATTTTATAATATAAATCAGAGAAGAATGACTTACGGGGAGAGCTTATCTGTAAATGAAAGATCCACCCGACCTGCTGCTCACATGCCTCTCTCTGAAACCATTCTTAATTACAGCCCTTCCATGTGAGATTTATAGATTCTCCCAGAATCTGTACATTAGACTTCAGAGGCCCCTTTTAAACTGGGGGATTAAAAGCCTATAAGAAGTGATTAAAGCAGTATGAGAATGCCTATGTATATGAATGCTCTTTGTATATACATATGTAGTTATAATACGTATGATGGTTAATTATTTAAAACCCTGTTTCCCTTCTGGCTTTGATAAATACATGGTGGGTGCCCTGAGACAACATATTTCTGTGCACACCCTCAGCTTTACCCACAACAGAAGGAAAAGGTGCAGATATACACAGGCATATAAATACACTCGGAGGGCATTGCTTTTTTATTCCTAAGTTTTTCAGAGAGTGGGCCACACTTCCAAGCTTTTTGTCATAACCATGAAACCAGAAGTGGAATTTCTTCAGAACAAATCTGTAACACGATTTCAGGAAGCTGGGAACAGAGTGAAAGCACCACATACAGCGAGAGGCACGATCAAACAACGGGAAGCGGCAACACTACTGACACTGTTGCTGCCAAGGTGTTGCTCTTCACAAGAAGCCCCTCTGTGTCCAGAACCCGCCTTGGTTCCCCTTCTCTGCTGTGAGAGCTGTGCTGCATGGCGGCTGGGCTCTGGGCGAAGGGGAAATGGCGCGGGCCGGTGAAGGTGGACGACTCCAGAAGCCTCCACTGATGGCTGCTGGCGGTAGTAAGGGGAAGCAGCAGTGAGCGGGAGGGCCGGCGGGGGGGCACACGTCCCTGATGTGGAGTAAATCAGGAGGCAGGAGGGTCTCTTGCACGTCCAAGAGCAGCGTGCCTGCTTGCAGCGCGCGCTGCCTCACCTCATCGTCCATCACGGCACGAAACTGCTGCGAGTGCTCAGTGCCCTGCCCCAGCTGCTTCGGGTGGGTGGAGGAGGGTGCCTCATCCCCCACGGGGGGCTCAGCAGCCCTCGGCTTCCTCGGAAGGGGGCTCACAGTCCCCTTGGCACTGCCAGCTTCCCTCAGAACGCCTGCAGCCGGGCTCGGAGCGAGGGGAGGGCAGAGGCGTTTCTGAGGGCTCTGGTCAGGCCGGTGGCTGAGCGTAGCACAGCGGGAAGCAGCAGGTTACCCCTGCCCAAAATGCCCGCGCCTCCCGAAAGGAGCTTGTAAGCAAGAAGCTGTTTCAGATGAGTTCGTGCTTCTGCTTAGACGAGTTGTTTTCTGGGCACCGTGGAGCTCCTCATGCTCTCCTGCATCTCTGTTTTGGATATTTATTGTCTGAAGCTGTTAAATGTGAGCTCCTGCCTCTGACAGAACCAGGGAGCACCCCCTGTGCATTGAGCTCAGTGTGCTCCCTCAGAAGGCGGCCGTCCGGCCCTGCAGAGAGGCAGCGCCATGGCCCCAGGAAGCACAGACTGGGCAATGGCGGCTGCTCTCCTCGCACCCTTGCTGGGGAGCACAGGCCAGGCAGCAGGGACTGAGAGACTAAGACTCTCGGGAGGGGATGCTCCATCTCCTGTGTTTAAAGGAAACAAACTCCAGCTGAATGACAATAATCAGCAGATTGCCTCGCAGCAGGGGAGCTGGTGTGTGATCCCAGAGGATGAAGCAGGTACCTTGGAGCAAAGGAGCCTTTGTGAAGGCTAAAAACTGAGCCCTCAGTGGACTGCGGGTGATCCCCACAAGTGTTGCACAGAGGATGTTGTATTTCAGAGCTGCAGACTGCTTAGAAGCAGAGTCCTGGCTCCTTTCACATGGGTTCACAAAGCTCCTGCACCTGAGTGTGGGTCGTGGCAGGGCTCCACCTGGGGCTTGTCTGCCTGCCCTGTGGTTGCTGCTTGAAGGGCTGAGGTGGGCATGAGGCTCCAGCACTGCTATGGCGTGGACGTGGACATGGACATGGACATGGACATGGACATGGACATGGACATGGACGTGGATGGGTGAGTCCTGTGCTTTCCATTTCTACTGCTTTTTTTCACCTAGAGGCTCAGTCCAGTATGGAATTTACCTCAGTGAAGTGACTGCAAGCTCATCTGGGAGGTCTAACATAGTGTGCAACTTCTATTGTGTCACAGCAATGGTTTCTTTTCAGTTTGATTTTTGGTATCTATTTCTTGATTTTGAGAAAAACGTCCAATTAATGCTGTTGTGTTCTTGGGTGATATGAAAATCTAGGTTTGGGTATTTTTGCACTATGCTGAGGTAGGAGCGTCCCCTCTGAGCACCTCTGCAGGGATAGCCAGTTTTGCAATGGTCTTTAATGAAAACTCTGAAGTAACTTAAAGGCAAGTCCTACCTGTGTCTAGATTCCCCGTGGCGTAAATGCATGGACTGCGACTGATATTGCTGGGGTCTCATGTTAAGTGTATCCACTCCAGGAATTTGCTTCCCCATTAGCTTAAGCCAAGAGATGCCAACAGCAGAATTAAGTGGAGCCGAACTGGCAGCATCTCAGCCCGGAGAGAGGGAGTCAGGGAAACCAAGCAGAAACTGAGGCACCAGTGTGGCTTCCCTGTAAATAGCACTTAGGTACAGGTCAGAGAGAGTTTGCTGTACATTGTCAGTGACGCTCCAAGATTGGAGAGAGACCAAAGTCTGAATCTTTTCTCACAATGCTAAAGCAGTCACCATACATTGGTGGGGATGATACAACACTACGTGGACAGCTAGTTCTTAAGTTCAGAAAAATAAGTTTTTCTGCTAATGTTGTTCTGTGCAAAGCGAGCAAAAATCTTCAAGCACCACGTGTTCTTCAGCTGTTTGAAGCTCGGGGAGTGTTCTGGGGTTATTTTCAGATTACGTTTAGAATGTTTTCTCCAGTAATTTGGGTTCAGAAAGATAACCGGATAAATTTATATGCTGCCATCTCTCAGAAGCCAAAGGCTTTGCCTGCTCCCATGTCCTCTGCAGTGTTACTCTGAGGACGGGAGGCACAGGCTGCTGCAGGGTAGCTCAGTCACCTGCGGTTCAACCCAGGAACACCCTGCAGGTATGGCCATGTGTGCTCTTGGTCTCGGGGTACCTCAGGTGCTGAGAGTCTGCACATGGCCTCAAGGTTATTTTCTCCATGCGATGTGCACATGGGTATGCTGTGATGTGCATGAGTGCTCGGTGCTGCCCCAGAGGGGAGCAATAAACACATGCATGTCTGGTGGTTTCCCTTGACCTACACGTGTGGTGTATAACTGTAGCAACACAGGCTGCCCGGGTGCTGCCCCTACCAGCCCCATGGGTGGGGAGGTCTCTGCTGGCTGGTCTGGTGGAGCAAGCTGCAGCCCTCTGCCACGGGGGCCCAGTTTGAGGTCC